AAACTGAGACTTTCTTATCGACTCAATTTGCTATAGTTGTCGTTTAAAGTGCATGCATGGCGTTGTGGCTTGAGGTGCGTGATGACACCTTTTCTTTGTAAAAACAATATGTGAGTAAAAAAAAATCTTTGTGAGTAAAAAAACAAATTTTATAAAAATTTAATTGCTGTTAACTAGCCAAAAATGAATTGTTTACTTACTACTTGTTCAATCACCACGTTATTATAGTTTGCTGTAGCACTATCACACTACACCTGGCTGCCCGTCCTGCGCTGCTCAATTCAGTGCTGCATCATCTGCTTTTTTCTCGTTTTCTCGGCGCTTACTTTTTCCACAAAATTGAAATAATTAAGCGGTGCCATTTGTAATTGTGTCCATTTTTTAAAAATATTTTTGTAACTACAGGATCTGCTCAATTCGATTCATCGTCAGCCAGTCGTGAAAACGGCAAAAAACAGCTATCGCATGCCATCTGGGAAATTGATCAGCAATCTCACAGTTCTCGTCATGCAACTTATACAAAGTGTTGTAAAAGTGGTTAGTTTTACTTTGGCTGCACCTCCTTTTTTTCCCTGCATATACGCCTTGTCACCGTTCACCAACTCGATGAGCAGCTGTCAAGGGAGTAAGCTGGATTCCGAAATAATTACACATTGTGTCCTAAACCAGCTATATTGGAAGGTGCTGGATTCTATATTTCTAATTTTTGAATATCCAATGCAAACCCAATTTCCATTAGGAACATTCTGGTTTTTTCGCATCGCTAAACGGATAGTGAAGTCTACCGTGATGTCTACCTCTCCATCCATACATTTATCCCTCTACCCTTTCATAAAATTTGCAGCATCCACGACGTCGTCGAAATGAAGAGTCTCTCGATGCGAACAGTGAATTAGCAGTTGTAGATGCCACAGTGAACGATTCATTAATGGAATCAAAGAAACTAGCCGATATGTTCCTGATGGGTTTCCTCACAAGGTTATTAAACTGATCCTGTTTTTATGTTTTTCTACAGAAGTGAATTGAGTGTTTGATCTGAAAGTATCGGATTTATTTGTGAACGATTCGGCTTAGCAGTCCATTAATCTGCACCTCTGCAGTGCCATGCTGTGAGTTTTTCATGGTTGAATTCACCGTTGAAGTAATCCGATTCTTAATATTTATTTTCGGTCGCCTGCATCGCTGTGGGCGATATGTGAGCATTGCCTCCCCTGCCGTGTTTTTCACACTTCAGTCTCTTTACAAAAATTTTGAAAAAAAATTCAGTTTTTTGCAGCTAAAACTTCTGATTAAGAAAGTTTTTTCTTGCATCTAATTGTTTACAACATACTTTGGTAAAAGGAAAATGCAGTAATCGAATCACAGCTGTTATTGGCGCAAATTGCCTTTTCGCTTTTCTAAGCTTAACTAATTTCGTGCAGTGCTAGTCCAGTACATGAAAGTTATTCCACCGCTAGAGGGTGTCGCCTCGGATTGACGGCAATTCCTTCAATACTTTGTTTAATGATCATTTCTTTGTCGCGCATTTTCTCACTCTCAACGCAGCTGGCAACCTTTTTAGGGTTACATACAAAATTAGCGCTAGCTCATTTTCTGACGTTGCTGATTACTTATGGCTCGTTCTGCTTTTTCGCTTTTTCCCTGGTAGAAATAGTAGTTCGAGGTTTCAGAAGTTGTTTTGCCTCAGAGTAGCTTTTGGTGTTTTAAGACAAAATGAGGCGCTCTGAAATACCGATTAGATAGTCTCTAGCAACCCAGTGTATCGTGATTTCGAATCTGATTTTCAAGGCTTTTCAAGTGTAACGTTGCCTTTTTCCAGTGCTTTCTCCAGTTCCTTGAAACTAGCCCGTTATTGTTTAGATGTACAGCGAAAGCAGAAGAGGACTATCGGCGCCTTTTCGATCACTTCCTACACGATTTGCTGGCTGCTTGGTATGAGCCAGAATGGCCGGCTGCCGATATGCTTGTGTCGTTGCTTAGCGCTCATCTGATGACGATCACTTACTCAAAGAATTATGATATGTCTCTGAGGATAGCCAGGTATTACCAGTGCTTTGCTTTTATTGTTGGCCCGCTTGGCCTTTGAATTTGTGGGGACATCTGAGTCCTCAAATACTTTGTTCAAATTAGCAACCTTTGGCACATAAATCGTTCTCTTCCTATTTTCGCACTCCATGTACCTGATATTATATTTTTCAATATTAAAAACCAATTCTTGCTTTTTTATAGGCAGATTCTTCTGCTCTGAAGGTGGTATTGTAGTTTCAAAATGGTCTCACCGCTCTTCCGAATAGATTGCGTTTCCCTTTGCCTCTGTTGTAAAATCCGTTGGTTATGTTGGCCTGTGAACTCTTTTTTTTTCCCTATAAAACGACCTATGCAAACGCGAACTTCCGTTTGAAGAGCATTGGTTTTACTTACTGTTTACCAGTAGCAAAGTTGATTTTCGATGACAATTCAGGCCTTTTCTTTGGCTGTATCATTCCTTCCGTCCAACTTTTTTAACGAGGGATAACTGAGATACTGTCTCCAGAATTGTAGAGGCATCAAAAGAAGGCGCAGATCTTGAACACTCAGAATGATGTTCACACAGGCTTGCGAATTAAGCTAGAAAAGGAGAGGCGCACCCTCAACTCAGTGCACTTGCCACAGATCAACATACCTCTGTGTTTTCTTTTCCATTTCAAGAATGTTGTTTTTACTTTTAGCTTGGATTATTTGGGAATTATAACTGCCGCCCTTCGAAAGCATATGCAGACTACGGTGTCGGATGATGTGCGCCTGAGTATGGTTGTGAAAACGTTAGCATACGAAGAACTTGACGAATCGGAGCAAAATGGCGACATAAACAATGTTGATATTAGCAATGTTAGTTGACGTTCGATTTTTGAGAAAAAAAAATTTGTGCTGCTCCTTAACTCCTTGTCTTTTTGTTTCTGGCATCCTCGGAATGAATCCACTACTTCCGATCCGTGAATTTGCTGCTCATTGCATGAATAGTGTTCCATCATTCCATTTTACAACTCCTCCCTGCCATGGCCTCGATGGTAGCTATGGTGCTCAAGCGGCATCCTGGAGTTCCTGCAGTAATTGACCCACTACTTGGCTGTTGCTGGGTTATTTTGACATACTTACGTTTATAAAAAGGTAGATCTGACAGTAATATTCAGCTCTCGAATTTGCTGTGACTGTTGTTGTACCATTCGGTCGAACTGTAAGTAATCCTCCTGGCATCTACTAGGATTTTCGTTCTTTCTCTTTTGGGTGGAAAAGAGGAAGGCGAGCAAATAACTTTTCTCGACAAATGTAAGTCGAGGTGCGCTTCTTTTGAAGGTTGAACAGTGAAAATCGTTGTTTCAGTTGACTGATCGACAAAAAAAGCAAAAGGTGGAGCGTGCGCTGATTGATTATATTGTCGAAAAGAAAGGTGACGTCAACGTTTCCATTGAGGTATGTTTCAAAGTAGGTAACATTCGACTTCATAGTCTTATCGTTTTATCAATCGTATCTGATGCCCAGTGCACGCCGTGACTGACTTGCTGGATATAAGTTATAACTCCATCGCGCAGCATTAATGCGATTTTAAGCAGGCAGATCTCTCGACTTCAGCTTTTTCTGATGTTGCCTTAGGAAGGCTATAATTTGATGCTGGTTTCTGCCGGTTATGATTCATTTGAGATTGTACGCGACTGATCGGATTATCAGTCTGATGGGGATTGACTCTGATTTTACGGGACCAATTGATTCTCACATTGAATCACACAAATTACGAACAATTTCAAGCAAATAGCGCTCATCCGTAAGGAATTATAGGCGTTACATCGTTAATTAGATGCTAGGCAAACACCGGCATACAAATCTCGTGTGCCAGACACTCGCCAGCACGAAATATCCCCTGCACTGTTTCATTCCTAAGGATCTGCTCGATAGCCTGTTTCAGTGTGATCTACAAGTTTATTAACTCCTTGTATAAGATGTTATGAGAATAAAAGTGACACTGCTCGATCGATTATTTGTGAATACGCACAGTTTTATCGAATTATCGTTTATTATTAACAGTTTTAACATACATGGTGCTAGACAATTTACCAGAAACGTTGTCAGATCTGGAACGCTCTTTTTAAGGTAGAGAGTGCAATATGCAAAATTTTTGCCCAGCATGCATTGCTCATGACAAATCATTTAGAGTCCTTATTAACTGAGAACCAAAAAACTTCTGTATCTTCTTTTTCTTTAATTAACTGATGTCGGAACCTCAAGCCGCTGCGATGAGTTAGTAGTCTTTTAACGAAATTTTTTCAACCTTTATGCAAAACGTTTCGTAAATTGGCCAAAGTTTCCTTTATTTTTAATAACTCGCAAAGTGTGCTTTGTTTTCAGTATGCAGTAATGTTCTACGCTGCTGTATGGTACAAGAG